GTATATATATATAATTGAATATGCAATAATGTTTTGCTCACACTATGATGACATTTCTTTCATGAAATTTAAATATTTTGTATTTATTATATTCAAAATCTCATAATTTTTTGACAGGATTTCTTATTGTATACCATGGTACAGTATGTGTTTATTTAAATTTAAAATGATGAAAAAATTGTGGGTTACCCCCACAAAAGATAAAAAAAAGTGGTCACATGGTCAGATAATTATGGTCATAAAAGATCATTTATGATCAATCTCACATCTTAATAATACATCTTCCCAGATTGTTATTAAATAATCAGAACAGTGGCAAGATTCTATGAAATACCTTATACTGTATATGTATATAAGTATACAGACTATGCTATATATAAATTAAAATACTTTGCTGTGTAGTAGTATATAAATACAGTACTAGTTAAAAGGTAGAATAATAATAATGTTGTAATATAAATATGTATCTCGACCACAGGTCTCTGTGGTTGAGTTGGAAAGACCTTCGCACGATAAGTCCTGGTGAAGGCAAGGTTTCCTTTTCATTCTGATCAGATTTTCCTCTTCTGTTGCATTTAAATTTTACATTATTATTTACAAAATGGGTTTATCCCATTGGTCTATTAAATTAAATAAATATATAGATTAACATTGTTTTCTATTATTTGTTTTTATATTACAAAAATTAAACCATGAACGTGAACGTGTGCGGACGTGTTTCGGCTCTCAGAAATATGTCTCTCATTTTACTTGTATTTGCTTTGCTTTATCAACGATACCCTGCACCAATTTATCAGAAACGCTTTATATTTTACGGGGATTCTATATTTGATGATGTTTTATCAATTAAAACTGAGTTTTTGACTGTCAAAAACGTAGGCCTTCGACATAGCGAGGATTGGAAATCTATGAGCTATGCCGATAGGAATGCATTGAACAAGGTATGCAAATTCAGATGGCCATTGAGGTGCTTAAGTATTAGCCTACACAAACGTTTACTTGGAAGTAAGGATGATCGTGTAGTATGGAAAAGGAAGTTCAGTGGTCCTTGTATTTACTACTAAAATCATACAGCAACATTTAATATCAATCTTCTTTCTTTGAATGAATATATAAATCAGAACCCTGGGCCGGTAAAGAACCCCTGTGGTGTTTGTGAAAGGCCTGTCGCCATTACACACAGGTCAGTAAGTGCAATGTACACTGTTAAAAAAAAGGTGCAAATATCTACTTAAAAAGGTACAAAACAATGCAACACCACAGCCACCTTTTAAGGTGCACAATTGTACCTCTAAATAAAAGTGCAACCTTGCACCCCATTATATGGTACACTGTTAAAAAAAAAGGTGCAAATACCTACTTAAAAAGGTACAAAACGATGCAACACCACAGCCACCTTTTAAGGTGCACAATTGTACCTCTAAATAAAGGTGCAACCTTGCACCCCATT